TAGAGACGGGGTGTCACCGTGTTGACCAGGATGGTCTCGATCTCTTGACCTCGTGATCCACCCGCCTCGGCCTCCCAAAGTGCTGGGATTACAGGCTTGAGCCACCGCGCCCGGCTCTTTTTTTCTTTTTTGAGAAGGAGTTTCACTCTTGTTGCCCAGGCTGGAGTGCAATGCCTCGATCTCAGCTCACTTGGCTCACCACAACCTCCACCTCCCAGGTTCAAGTGATTCTCCTGCCTCAGCCTCCCAAGTAGCTGGGATTAGAGGCATGTGTCACCACGCCTGGCTAGTTTTGTATTTTTAGTAGAGATGGGGTTTCTCCATGTTGGTCAGGCTGGTCTGGAGTTCCTGACCTCCAGTAATCCAACTGCCTCGGCCTCCTGAAGTGCTGGGATTACAGGGGTGAGCCACTGTACCTGGCCAAAGGAGCTCTTTCAATGGGAGCTTTGAAGACGGCATTCTGTGTGACCTACAGTCCATTCTTTATTCCCACTACTCTTGTCCCACTGTGGGGATGCAGGTGGGTTCTTTTAAGTATTCACCAGCAATGCACAGCCATTTTACTCCTAGCTGTATGTTCTGGTGCCCTGTCAAAAGGTGACTCAGCCCTTGGTGCCTGTTATTTTCAAGAAGAAAGCCAATCTTTTTTCTAGCTCAGAACAATACTTCCAAGGACACCTTGTAAAGAGTGGCACTGGTCCTTATACTATGTTGCTGAAAGAAGATACTCTAAAAATCTGTGAGCATCTGCTTCTATAATAGAGTCCAAAGAAAACTACACTTCTTGGGACTCCGCCATTGTAAAAGGACTCTTCTTTCACTATTCTGCTGTGAGAATTTTCTATAAGATTCAAAGGAAATAGGCATACATGCACACATCCAGGTTTAATCCATAGTAAAGCAAAGCAAAGCACTCAAAAAAAAATCTCACCTAGGTTTAATTTTTTTTTAAAAAAAGTACATTAAAAAAGAAAATATACCTTTGCAAATATAGTCTTGACATAAATTGGCAGGTCTCCATGGGGACTTCCATAACCCCCTACAATACTAAACCCCAATCCTTCAGAGCCTTTCTCCAAAGTAATAATCTTAGGTGGAGGTGTTCTGAAAACACAATGCATGCTGTTTAATTCGAGAATAGATATTGAGGGAATTTCATTTATTGGAATAATACAGATTTGAGAGAGACTTTCATACTGCGAAACTATGAAGTTTGGTTTATCAAATCAAACTTGCAGAAAGCAATCTAGAAAGTTACTTTAAAACTTCTCATGTCAAGCCAATTAATCACCAATATTCTTGATGTTTTAGAGGTTTCTCTTTCATAAAACTCACTGATTTCTAATTAAAGTCATGATGATGAAATTGTCAAGTAACTCTTCTATATGTTTAGTTTTTAACTTTTTTTTTTTTTTTTAAGACGGAGCTGGGACTACAGATACCTGGTTAATTTTTATATTTTTAGTAGAGATGGGGTTTCACCATGTAGGCCAGGCTGGTCTTGAACTCCTGACCTCAAGAGATCTGCCCACCTCGGCCTCCCAAAGTGCTGGGATTACAGGCATGAGCCACCACACCCGGCCATTTTTTAACTTTTAAACTTACTGCTGACAGCTGAAGTTGTTGACGCATGCGCATGGAGACAGAGGTCGCATGTCTCCTAGTGCGGTGGGAGACTGCTAGGCTTCATGTGAACTCTTGTTCATAACAGGTAACAGCAGCCCGCAGCTCAGAAAACTGCTGCTTCTTTTCGTTTATCTTTTTTTTGTTTTTCGAGATGCAGTCTCGCTCGTTGCCAGGCTGGAGTGCAGTGGCTCAATCTTGGCTCACTGCAACCTCTGCATCCAGGGTTCAAGCGATTCTCCTGCCTCAGCCTCCTGAGTAGCTTGGATTATAGGGGCATACCACCACGCCCAGCTAATTTTTGTATTTTTAGCATGAGGTTTCACCATGTTGGCCAGGCTGGTCTTGCACTCCTGACCTCAGGTGATCTACCTTCCTTAGCCTCCCAAAGTGCTGGGATTCCAGGTGTGAGCTGCCGTGCCCAGACTGCTGCTCTTTTTCTGCTTGAATGCCCTAGGCAGGAACTCCTTCTCCAAACTCACTTCCAATGTGAGGCTCTCCTGCCTCCCTTGGGAGGATGGGTCCCACATCCTTTCCTGTCCTTTCCCTGCATTCGGTCCAAATTTCCATTTTGGCACTGACTCTGTCATACTGGAATTACTTAGCCATCCATTTCCTCTACCAGACTAGGACCTCTTTGTCTTAGTCATCTCAGCCTTCCCAGCACCATGCGTGGTGCTTGTCAGAAACTCAGGATCATGACTGTGTGAATGAGGACTGAAATCCAGGAGAGAAGAGAGAAACCAAGGGGAAGCAAAATGGGGAAAGAAAATCTGTTTCAAATGTAAAATTTAGCTTTTCAAAGCTTCGTCCAGTGTGGAAGTCTTCTCTCTCAGAAACAACATGGCTAAAAATTATATTACCTATGTGGGCTCCCAGTAATTTAATCTTAATTTAAGCTTAGGTGATGCCAATTTCTTATTCCCAAATGCTATGGCTCAAAAGGCAGAAACACGACTCTGTCTTATTCGTGACAGGTAGTTCATATTTGCGTACCGGCAGCATCCTTTGCTTTGTGGCAACATGCATGTCTGAGAGACAAAGTCATCTCATATAAACTCAGCCATTCATGCACTTAGAGAAATTTGCAAAACAGGGACATAAGCAATCTTTAACTATGTTGTTCTAACTAGAATATTCTTCCCTCTCTCCCTCCTCAATTTTGCTGCTTTATTAAAGAGTTTTCAGCTGTTTCACATTGACCAGTTGTTTATTGATGCACTTACTAGTTGTTTACAGAAGACATCCATGGTAATTGCTGACGATCTATACATATAAATTGTTAACTGTTTCTAACTGTTTTGTTTGTCTTTACATTTTTAAAAATAAACACAGGGTCTGACCACGTTGCCCCGGCCTTGGCCTCTCAAAGTGCTGGGATTACAGGAGTGAGCCACCACATTTAACTATTTTGAACATCACCCTGTTTATTCCAATTCTTTTTTTTTTCTTTGAGACAGGGTCTTGTTCTGTCTCCTAGGCTGGAGTGCAGTGGCGCAATCACAGCCCACTGCAGCCTCGAACTCCTGGGCTCAGGTGATCCTCCCGCCTCAGCCTCCCGGGTGGTTGGGACTGCAAGCATGTACTAGTATGCCTGACTCCAGTTCTCTTAGGCTTAAGCATTGGCTTTTCCAAGTACACTCCCTGAGTTATGCCCCATACCAATGGTTTCACAGGACCCTCTCTCAATGAATTTAGCTTTCCTACAATTTTTGTTTATAACCATGGATTTAGGGGTCTGTTTTCCACTTCTCTAGCAGCTCTCTGGGGACTGGGGCAATATCTTTACTTACATTTCTAAGTTTGAGTCCTCAGGACCTAACACCTTTATCTAAGTGTCTGGCCTTAGAATGGTGCTCAATAAATATCTGTTGAAATAATGATGAATTGTCCTCTATGCCTGAATGATAATGACGTCATGAATAAGGTTCTACTTTTCCCTACTTTGTGGCCTTACAAGCACTCTCAGTAACAGGTCACTGGCTGGATACAAATTCGATTCATGCTGCTTCTTTCAAACACAGCCCCCATTTCCAAAGATATTAGAATGGGAACCTAGATGCCCAAAGCCGTTGCTTTAGAGCTAGTTCCTGGGGCCACCAAATCATTAGAGATCCTTATAATTGTGTCTATTTATATTCAGGGATGTGTTTTCAGGGAAAGAGGAAGGAGTGTGGCTCTACTCCTCAACTGGCAACATCAGATGGAGTTTGCCTCCATTGATCTCACAATATCAAAACACATTCAACCAATTAGTTTAAATTTGCTTTCATATAGAAGAGTAGTTAAAAAAAAAATCACAATGTTAGCAGTGGTGAGATTATGAGTGATTTTTAAATTCCTTTAAGCCTGTGGTTCACAACTTGCCAGAGACCATGAAATTACAGCAAAGGAATCAAGACTACAAGGGATCTCTGTATTTCCACAGTCCCATCAAAGGATGCTAAAGGTACACTATTCTTCCTAGAAAGGTTCTGT